CATATTCCACATTCGCCATCAGATATACAGAGAACGTGTTTTCAGGGATTTACATTTGAGAAAGAGGTATGATTTGAAGGATTTCCTATCCCTTTTTTAAAGAGTTCGTCTGATGCTATTTTGATCGCATCGTTGTTTTTTTTGCCTTTTTAAAATCAGTTATAAATGTATTCGTAGCACGCGATATCAACATCGCTTACAATTTTGTTGTTGGGTGCTCGAATAAACAATAGGGGGCCGTGTTTGTCAAACAGCTGGAGATTGTCATTTACCAATTGAATTAAGGCCATAGAGGTGCATGGAGTGATGTCTGCGAAAACCAAACTGGTTCTAGTACAAAAGATTGAAGTCCCTCAGATATTTATAGATACGATTATAAACTACTTTTCCAAAAAGTTTAGAGAAGGCTGGAAGAATGGAGATGGGTCTATAATTTTCTTTCCTTTCTGGATCACCAGATTTGAATGAGGGAAGAATTTTCGCTATTTTCAATGGTATTTGAAAAATATCCACTCTCTAAAGAGATGCTAGTATTCTTTGTTAAGGGCTCAACAATAATGTTAATGGTGAGTTTAATAATTCTCATGGGAATGTTGTCAACTCCAGGAGCTTTACCAATAGCCAACGAGCGGCCGAAGCTCCAAGGGTTGTTACAGAACTGGAAGGTGCTATTTTTGCTGCTAAATTAAGACAAATATTGGAGAAATATTTGCAAAAGTTGTTAGCAATAGAATCTGGATCAGACGTAAGTTTGCCATTGTACTCTTAAAGCAGGTCGGATAGTTTAATTTGATCTTTCGGTTATTAGAAGTATTTTCCAAGTGGCTTTGAGAGCATTTCTAAAGGTTTCAAGGTTTTGATTGTAATAACCACTTTATACTATTCTGATAAGAAGATTTGGTTTTTGAATGTTTTGTACACTTTTTCATTACCAATATTTGGATTTTTGAGAAACCTTTTCGTACAGTTTCGCTTTCTTCTTAATAGATTTCAAAAGGCGTTTGGTAAGCCAAGGATTGTGAATGGTTTCGAGACGCTTACTTTATAGGATTTTTATTGAAAAGTTTCGTGATATAGTTTGCTAAATCTATTAGAAAAAAAGTTATATGCAGAATTTGCATTTGATCTATCGAGGTTTTCCCAGTTAAAATAATTTAACGAGGCGCGAAAATTTTCAACCTATTTCGGTTTAAAGTGCTATTCAGACGAATATTGATGTTCTTCAAAAAACGATTTTTTTTTTGCCGACAATTAAAATTTAGATCCTAAACGAAAAGAAAAAAATACGATGCAGACCTATCGCGGCAAGAAAAGTCCGAAAACATTTTGATTAAAAGTCGCTAAATTTCGTCCGCCATTGCTCAAACTACAACTGCTGAGCCAACGATAATTTTCATCGTCTTTCCCCATCGTGACAACATATTATTCCTTTCATCGAAGCTCTGTCGAAGAAATAGTGGATTGAGTGGCGATCTTGCTTGAAAATTGTCGCTGTTTTTCATTTTAAACGACAGTACTGGTTTTGTTTCTTCCGAGAAAGGGTCCATGAATGACTGTCGTAGTGTTGAGGAGAAATATTGGATATGAGGAGGCCGTCGCTTTTGAGGAAAACATTTAAACGTGGCTAGTAAAGAAATGAGGGAGCTAGAGCTTCAAATGCGGCTTACTGGTGAAGCAGAAGTTCATAATACAAAATTTAGCACATATGCTCTTTGTTAAGCTTTTGTGGTAAGATGAAAATATCTCTTGAAAGGCTTTGTTCATTGTGTTTTGAGGTGTCTTCGAGCAGTACTCTTCCAGTCAGTTTACCCTTGTTCTTATTTTTCTGGAAGCTCAAATCTTGTCCCTTTGTCATGTAATGCCTTTAGGCCGATAAGTAATACACAATTCATAAAAATGAAAAGGCTATTGATCTTCTGCGAAACCATAGTATACCACAGTTTCGCTAGGAAAAGCGTTGCATAATGGCCTAAAGGCATTGCATGACAAAAGGAAAAGATTTGAGCTTCCAGAAAAATAAGAGCAAGGTTGAGTGTCATTCATCGGCGGGCACTAAACTAAAAATAATTGTAGAAGCAATAAACTTGGCATGATTGTTGGCAACCTCGTTCCCAGGGTCTCTCATCTTCCCGCCCCACTCGCTCCAGGGGAGATGAGAGACCCTGGGAATGAAGTTGGATTGTTGGCTGAGGAGACGTCCTAGGTCGCTCATAGCTTTGAGTTTTACGACAAATGAGTCGGAAGATTATCTTAGCAGGATTGTAGAACCTTTAGCCCAGCAGAACTGGTAGCGGCGACTGCTTTGAAATTTCTTTGCCTCAAAAAGTAGATCTTGTAATCTTGGAGTTAGATGCCCGTAGATGGCAAGGTAATTAACAGTGTCATCTGTAGAGAATCCAATTTGTGAGTATTTGACTTTTCTCACTTCTTTCCTGGCTCTTCAGACCTTATCTCTTGCAAGGCGGCAGGTAGAGTAGAGTAGACATCTATATTTATACAGGATAGCCCCTTCAGTATAGTAAACACTGGTATCAACGGGGGTCCTGTTACCCACCCATCCCATACCCACCCATCCCATTCCAGGAGAGGACATCCATCACACAGTAATCTCGTGCGTGGGAAATTAACGTCTCCTGCCCCTAATCCTGCAGGGGACGGGACCTCCATGAATTCGTACCTATCCGAGAAGACTACAATATCTAACCATCTCTTGATGTTATAGAAAGGTAGCATACTCTTCTCAATTATTTTTAAGACCCTGAGTGTTGGTCCGGCCGGGGCTCGAACCCTCGACCTCCCGTACAACAGTCCAGCGCTCTATCCATTGAGCTAACTGGGAGGCGGTTAGCTCAAATTACCGGATCAGGCGTGACGCCATTCGACGCTCCTTCGTTAGATCTTTCACGTCTCGGCACTCGATGGGCAATACCTAAATCGGTAATGCTGATTCCTTCTATATCCATTGCTTCAAACAGCATAAGGCATAGAGCTGCTGTCGCTTCTGAAGATTCCTGTGAGCTTTTGAGGCCTGAAGCTATATGTAGAAATCTACATTTTAATAAGGGTAGTGCGTATCTTAGCTCAAAATCCAGTCACTTTTATTTTCGTTTCCATGAGGTTTTTTTAGAGCCCGGAAAGGGAAGTCTTCGAAAGGATTGTTTCCGGTGACATGATAAATGACAATTGATCTCTTTGCTATTGTATTAAACACCGGACCAACTGTATGAATGGCAGTATTTATTTAACAAATAACTAAGGTAGAGGGCTAGAGGCATTCAGCGAGAAGGCGAAAAACCGCGCGCGAGAGAGTTAGCTCTTTCTCGTGCGTCACGTTTCCTCCCGCGGAGGGCGGCTGCGGTTTCAGCATGACGTATAAAGTAGTCTTTGAGTTCCAAATGGAAATTAAAATAATTTGCCGTTGCGGTTTCACGTTGTTGTACTGCATAGGACGGCCAAGAAATGTACAAAGTTTCAAAACGCACATGCTGAGCTATTGTTCTGCCAATTAGATCTCTTGTTTTTCCACGTCCTCGTTGCCGTCGCAAGCGTGGTTTCTTAAGGTCCCTATTATTGAAGAGAGGAGACGGTTCTCCCTCAACGTAAGTTAAATCAACGTGTTTTTGCAAATCAACTTGAGTGCATTGAGAAGTTGTGGTAGGCTCAAATTTAATATGTTCTGTTTTTTTAATTGTTGCTATTATTATTTTTGCTGGCGAGCTTTTGCGAGGCAGCAACCTATTCTTTACAGTAGCGAGAAGAGCCAAAATTTGTCTGATGTAAGATCGGAGACATTCGCAGTCGACTGCGTTTTTTATATCCGGGGTGCTTGTGATGATGAAAAGCTTGCAATCATAGATTCTGAATGTAGATCGCTTGTTGAAGCTAACCATTCAACAAAATGTGGATCGCTCGTTGAAGCTAACCATTCAACTGCAAACTCAAATGACTGTTTGGGCTTTGAGACAAATTCTGAGTCGATTTCATCCGTGGAGAGCATCTATTCGACCGTCGAGTCCAATCGTTTTTCAGCACAACATTAGCGGAGTGTCGTTTGCTCAATGACGTCGAGCGTTCCTCAAAATGTGTTGGTCTTGCCGAAAGCGGCGGTTCGCGAGTTTTGAAGGGCAAAACCTTGATTGTGATATTTACAGCATAAAATATGGAGAGCGCCGACAAGAGTTGATCAATGCGAATGACATCCTTTATCCTTGCCTTTCCTTTTGTTCAGCATTGATGAATACTTTCACAACTTACAAGCAGGCAATTGTCATTTTAGAAATTTAACTTTGACTATTTTAAGTGAATCAAATGGTTCATTTTATACTTTTGACCCTCATGCTAGAAACGGTGATGTTATGCCAAATTCTAATGGCACAGCAACTGTATTAAAATTTAGAGATTTGTGTCAACTTGAAATATTCTTTTGTTCTGTAGAAAATGGACTGACATGTGGGTGTTTTGATCGAATTATCCCTCTGACGCCAGCACCCATTTTCACATTGAAACTACTAGTTTTAATTCTGTAGTAATTTTAATCGAGATACGCCATAGTAGACTGCAAACATAACTATGACCCAATTCTTACCAGATAACACAGTAACACACCGCCATTGACTCGTGGCGTTCACTTTAAATCCTTCGCAAACTATAGTCAACACTGATATGAAAGTGATCTTCGCTTTTTGACAACACTGTTGCCAGGCCCCAGAATACATGCTGGGGTTTAGAATTGATGGAATGAAACCAAAAATTGGGGCAGAACTCAAAAGCTGGTCAAAGGTAGAACGCGGTGAGAGACCTTCGTTGGTGCCTTTTATGCCTTCCGGCCGGATTTTTCGGTTAAATGCGTATCAATAATGAAAATTAGCAACCGTAAAGAGTGGGACTCTAAAGCAACCGTAAAGAGACTCTGAAGCTGACGTGCGTAGCCTTTACCTCTAACTTAGCATATTTAGCTTTCATTATGGACTCTAAAAGTATACCTAAATCGGGAAGGAACGGAAAATCTTTCTTAAAAGAGTTGAAACTCGGGCTCTCGAACTTTGCAGCGAGATCATGCAAATGCACAAGTGATGTTATGGACGCTTTTCCTATAGAATTCGCGTTTGAATGAAATCTGCCGAACAGAGCAATTAGGAACATGTAAAGGATGGATTTAAGTTAGCTCTCACGCTATACACGCAATTGAGGTTAATAAGGCTGCAGCGTCGGTGGCCTGTGTTAGAGAGGAGCATAGTTCCTAGACTCAACAAGCACTAAAGATATTGAATAGAGCAGACGATTCTTCCTAAACGTGAGTTCAATCAACTTATTTAAAATTAAGTGCATCGATGTTTCATTCTTAACGCACCTTTTCTTTGTGGATTTTGAATAATTAGGGCCTGGTGTTGATGTGAAAATAATTTGAGTAAAATAAAAGGTTCAATATGGTAGGAAGTGCTGTGATTTGTAAATAATGTGACGATAGGTTATTTGCCTACAACTGGGCTTCAGCGGGGAACGCAACAACAAAGAGGAGGAAATAGCTCGGTAGACACACTTTGGCAGCAAATATAATTTTCTTAGTTCATGTGACACCACAAAAGATGATAAACATCTCAAAATAATTTCACAGTGGCGTCTCCGGCACGAAATTGAGAAAAGGCTTTTACTCCCAGAACATCTGAGTAGGTTTGATCTACACATCGTGGAAACTCTGAAGAAAGACGTAACGCAACAGCAACGGGGGGAAATATCTCGGTAGAGACATTTTGGCAGCATAGATATATTTCTCAGTTCTTGCCGTGACACCACAAAAGATGATAATCATCTCAATTTAATTTCACACTGTTCAACCAGAAATATCTACATAGGTTTGATCTGCACATCGTGGAAACTTTGACGAAAAATTTTATTTATTCGAAAAGAGAACACGTTACCATTTCAATCAGCGGCAAATGCCCAAAAGAACCGCCAAATTTGCGAAGCGAGCACGGTCCGAAAATTAGAAATACGATTGTTGAACAATGGAATGGTGGAGTGGCGGAATAACCCACAACACGGAATGCCTTGTTGTATGAAACAGAAGTCTCACAAGAATGGATTTGCAATGAATTAAGAAAATAATTTATGATTATCTTGCGAAATCAAAGTTAAAATCAAAAGAAGCCTAGATTAATCATTACTGGAGCCTAAAGAACTGATAGACCTATGGAGTAATGGCGCTGTTCTCTAGCCCGCCCTGTAAGTTATTATATATTATTACTATTATTATCATTATTATTATCATTGTTAATATGATCGTTTGTTACCATTTAAGTATTTTTCATGTGGCTTTGAGACCATTTCTATAGGTTTCAAGGTTTTGATGATAATAATTTCCTTTTGCTATTCTGATAAGATGATTTAACTTGTTTTTGAAGGTCTTGCACGCTTTTTCATTACCATGCAATAGTTGGATTTTTGAAAAACTTTTTGCATAGTTTCGCTTTCTTCTGGGTACTAGATAGATTTCTTCTGGATGCTGATAGATTTCAAAAAGCCTTTGGTAAGCCAAGGATTGTAAATGGTTTTGAGACGCTTACGTTGCATGCATGATTTTAATTGAAACGTTTTCGTCATATGGTTCACTAAATCTGTTAACAAAGGAGTCCTATTCAGAATTTGCATTTAATCTATATTGAGGTTTTCCCAATTAAAATTATTTAACGAGTCGTGAAAGTTTTCAACCTATACCGGTTTTAAGTCACGTACAATGATGAGTTCTACATCTACACGCACACGCGGCTGTTAAGTTCAGCTACACGTGCGGAGAGCTGTATGATAAAAATTTTCTGTAGACTGAACACGACAGCTTTGGACGTTTGATGGTTTGTTCGATCTCTGAACCTAAAGCAGCACCGTCTTAGCTGCTAAAATTACGCTCGAAACTAAAAAGCTCTTCAGTTGTTGCACAACTATTTTTTACATGTAATCGCAACTATAAGCTTCTTGAGAAAATCTCCTTGAAACCTGTAAGAATTATTTCGATGATAAAAAATTTTTATCATGTAAAGGCGGCGCAGGTTTAGTGAGAGCTATCACCATTTTAATTTAATTATGGCCATCTATCTCGATTGTTTCTTCTCATCAAAATGTGGGTTGAACTCAGCTTATTATTGAAATGGGAAATTCAAAGTTTAAAACTAATAAAACTGACTGTCAGACAGTGGGAAACAAACGACTGAATAATCACGGTCACGTCAGCATGTTGTTTCGCAGCGTGAGCTGCGTGACATGCTGGAAAATACTGACATAACACGTCTTTGTGAGTTGGCTGACGTATCAGTTTCAAGGGAGCGGCGCGTCTGTGCAAATAGTTGGTAAAAGTTTGTGAAATTTTCTTACGCTTGATTTCTTTGGGATTCAAAACTGAATGACAAGGTAGTTATTGAACTAGTGAAGATAAAATTGAGACTTTTCATTGTTAGAGTTCTGAATTTTAAAAAATTTGTTCTTCGGTTTCAGATTTAACCGAAAACAACATGCTAAATATAAGGATTGTCAAAGGTGGCTGCCGTGGACGTGAAGCCGTTAGGTTTGGAGTGGTAGGTATTTGGCCGGTCGATTATCCAGGAAAAAATCCTGTGCTTCAAATATTTGACTCTAGTAGAGAGCTTCAGATTTACCGTTAAGTATGGAACGCCATAACTGTCTTATAACATGTTTTCTAATTATACTCGGTACTTAGTTCATTATGCTCGTTGCTTCTTCCATTATATTCGGTGCATACCCATTATATTCGGTGCTTTGTTCGTTATGTTCGGTGTTTTCTTCGTCATGTTCGGTGCTTAAAACATCATGTTCGGTGCTTAAATCCTCATATGCGGTGGCTACTTCTTTGTATTTGGTTATACTTGGTGCTATCATCATCATACTCGGTGGCTTTTTCGTCCGGTGCTATTTCATTGTATTCGGTGGATACTTCTTCATGCATACTTTGTTATAATCGGTGGTTCTAGTGTTGGTCAGTTCGGGGTATACCACTCATTGCTTTCATTCCATATTCAGTGCGTTTTGCAGCATGGTATTCGCTAAGCTAGTGCATCTGGTCATCTAACTTTGAAATTGTCAACAAAGTCAGGTTACAACACGCAAACGCTTTAAAATTTATTTACATTGCGGGTTGATCGTGGTTCCTATGAGTTACAAAATGTAAGTAGAAGGAATAGAAAAACGCAAACAACAGAGGAAATGCAATCGGATAAGGAAAGATACTAACGAACATTGTATCACTTGTGAACAGGAAGGACGGAAAAACTTAGAGTTGAATGCGGTGAAGAAACGATTTGAACTTAACGGACTCTGATGCTCCAAAATGTTCAATTTTACCCAGAAACTTGTAGAAATAAAATTAAACAAAGCAATGATTATGCAAAAAAATCTAACGGAATATAAATCACCGTGAGTGAAGAGAATGCGTAAACAATAAGAAAACTGTGCGTGAAAAACACGAAGAGTGTAATTGGGATCGTAAAGAAAAGAACTCGCTAAATGGGAATGCCTCCGTAACAAACTTACTTCAAGGAACATGGTCACAGCTGAATTCGTGACTTTGCTAAGACTGGGTTCAGAATGAATGCAGAATTCCGTTTCATTCCGTTTCACACCGCCTTGCTCCTTTTTGTTGTAGAGTCTCAAAAAGCTTTAAAAATGCTTAAAAAGAAGTGCAAGGACTACTACGGCCGGAAAATGTAAACAGAGCTTGCTGACTTTAAGTGAGGCTATGCGATATTTTAGCTTTTATTTGGACTGTTTTTTTTTTGTCCATATTTTCTTAAGGTATTGCGAAGATTTTGTCTTTGAATTGTCATCAACTTTCAGAATTTTTAACAATGCTACTCGATTTTATGGCCGTGAAATTAAGCATATGGTATTTCGNTTATTTCTTTTCCAGCCTTGCCCTTGATTGCAAAAGGTTATGAATTTTCATTCCCTTTCCAATTTACATGAGCTTTATGGCGACTTGTTCATGCATGTATTTCAGTGAGCCCACATCCAATTTGAAACTTCTCAAATTTTTATTGAGGGTCAAAGTGAACGACTCCATCATCAATGCTGCTTTTATAAACACCACCCATTATAAATTATGTTGTAGGGGCTACGAGCATGTTCCACACTGGTAAAAAGCAAAATAAATACACTAGCCAGACTGCAGTCAGCTTGTTACCCATCCAGTGACGTTGCCGATGACTTGAGCGACGAGAAATTCCCTTCCGAGGAGCTGAAAAGCCCAGTTTGTTCATACAACGAATGGGATCCTCTTGAGGAGGTCATCGTGGGACGCGTCGAAGGTGAATTTCTCGCCTTTATTTAATCGTAAACTGACGTACTGACTAACAAGTTAGTATTTGTTAATCTCCTGTTTAGTCCTCTAAGAGATGTTTGCTCTTTGTCAGAAAATTAACTCTTAAGCTATGAATTTCTGCCAATCAGTGAACAATCAAAGAGCTGAGCGACATATGTTAAGTACTGTCTCGGCTTAACTCTCTTTCTCCTGCAGGGGCGACCGTGCCCAAGTTTTCCATAGAAGTGAAAGCAAATACCTATGAGAAAAACTGGCCATTTTTCAATGCTTTTGGTGGCCAATCGTTTCCGGTGGAACATCTTGAAAAAGCGCACCTGGAAATCGAAGAATTCTGCAGCATTCTACAACACGAAGGAGTAAAAGTTCGTCGACCTGAGCCAATTGAATTCTCAGAGGTAAGAAAAAAATTCTAACTTAGGAGTAGAATGGAGGGAAATTTGAGGAAAGTCTTTCTATGTGTGAACTACCAGCTCAGCCAAATGCTATAACCCACTGAGCCGAACAAAAGTATTGCCAACTAGTGCTGCGAAAAGTTGTAAAATGTCTCTAATCTCTATGAATCCTAATTGTGGCGCTTTCTCATATAATTTTGTAATCTGTTTTTAGTGTCATCTTTCAGTGTCTTTTTGTGGTGGGAGGGGTAGGGGGGTAGCAGGGAGGTAACATCATTTACAGCCTCAATGATTTTGTTTCAAGCAGTGTTTTTATATGCATTAGTTATTACAGTGTAACATGTAATATCACTTGAGTGGTATGTGTTGGTATTAAATACTAAGGCTCAAGCTTTAAAGAGGATAATGGGTCTTGCACTCAAACCCTTACACTTAATAAAGTAACCTCTATCTTCTTGTAAATCATAACATCCAGAGCTGTTGTAAATCGCAAAAACTGCAAGAGTTTTGGCATCTCCAGACCTCTTACAAATCGCTGCAAAAATTTAAATGCATCTCTCTCCCCTTCATTTTGTGGATTTGAGGTGAGACAAGAGAGCACTTGTTTTGTTGTAGGTTTAAGACTATCATAGAAGCCCTCGACGGCTGAAATAGTTTGGAACTGGAGATACTGCTTTAACTGCTGTGCAAAAGGTTGAAAAGATGAAATCATGAGATGTGGTTTCTGAACTAGTTTCTGCTTGGAAATTTCAAGAATGACTTGGCTGAGGTTTTCAGTGGTAACCACACTTCTACACTTGAATCTTTCAAGAAAATCAGTAAATTCATCATCATCATCTGGAAGCTGATTCTTTCTTATAATACCTACAATAAACTCTTCCTCTACTGAGGATAGGTAATTTGTGAATGAATCAACAAACATGGAATCTGGAATTTGGTTGCCAAAGACGGGCAGTAGCATGAAAAGGCCTTTGACAAAAAGGTGGGGAAATAGGAGACAGACACAAACCCTTTAACTAAAATCCTCCCCACAGCCTCCCACTCCTCAACAAAGTGGTCATGTCTAGCAAAGGGAACCCTTTCTCTCTCCTATAGTCATGGAAATAGAAAATTCACTCTAGAATAAAGTATACACTTCACAAATTACCCCAACACCTACACCCTGTTCAAAGTGACCCTTTCCATTAATCAACTTAAAATCAATATTACAGTTCATTACACTTGGGTCTTTAAAATGTTCGATCAGTTCAGTTCTTATGCATGATCGGTGAACTGAGAGAACTCTCTCTGGAAGATTTCCTGATGAAGAGGGACATGGACAATTTTGCTCCATAGGGCCTTGATCAAGATTGCAATTCTCTTCATTTGTTAGCCTTGGGTAACTGGTTTCATCAGCCACATTGCTATGCGATCCTTCTGCCTCTATCTCAGCCACACTATTCGAAAGTACTGCTACTCGTCTAGATCTTATTTAATCCATAGTTAGTGGGACTGGGGTTTCTGGTGTTTCTGTAGTATTATATGGACTCCCCACATCAGCGATCCTAGAAAGCTCATATTCTCTGTTCTGCTCACATCGAACGCATTCTTCACCTTTCAAATACGTACAGTTACATACTGAACAAACAACACGCTGACCAGAATCTGATGCTACCTGAGAAGCATTCAGGTTGACCGGCCGTTCAAAAGTTTCCTCAT